CGTACAAGGCAAATGCCCTACCCGCTGTGCTATTGCTCCAGCCCCACCTGACACCTCTAAGTGAAACAAGCTCCTTAAAAGCAAGGGTCAGGGCCTGAGAGGTAGCACAGAGGTTACGGCATATGTTGTGCATGCAGTTGATCCGGGTTCAATCCCTGAACCCTGTGGAAGTGGACCAAACCCCAGCCCCTTACCCCCGAAATAAAGCAAGATCAGGCCCGCCTCCCACAGCTGATACCAAGTTGAATCACCCACCCAGCAGGCTCCTCTGATTCCCGATTAAACCCCCAGGAGATACATCCTAGGCCCTGTGTCTACAAACTGCAGAACCCCCTCGGGAGGCTGGTGGGCAGCTGCACCTACACCCCATTACTGCAGCCATGCCAAGGGCTTAACTCCCACTGCTTCACGAATATTCTCTGCAGTGGCGCCAATGTGCAAACAATTTCAGAAACCCCGGCACCCAGGCTGAGAACTCTGGTGCTTTTCAGATTTGGGGTGTGCAGGCCCCACCTCAATCCCCCATACTTCTCGAAGCTTCAGCATCCATGCTCACCTCCCCACAGCCACTACCATATCAGCCGTGACGCCTCCTTAAGCAACAAACAGCTCAATAATTCTTAGATAAGGACTTAACAACCCTGCAATCAGATATAACAATTGTCACATAAATTGATTTTTTTATACCGACTGATTTTTTTTTTCCTTTTTGGGTCACACCCAGCAATGCACAGGGGTTCCTCCTGGCTCTGCGCTCAGGAATTACCCCTGGCGGTGCTCAGGGGACCATATGGGATGCTGGGAATAGAACCTGGGTCGGCCGCGTGCAAGGCAAACGCCCTACCCGCTGTGCTATTGCTCCAGCCCCCCGACTGATTTTTATATTGAAGATTTATTATCTAATCAATTTTAATTCCAGAGTTGTATCAACAGGTATGCCATTTTTCTACTTTAAAATAAAAAATAATTTAAAAAACTAAAGCAAGATCAGGCTAATCTTTCTTCCCTTCCCCCACCCTGCAGCATTTCCCCAGAACAGAAATTCATTATCTGTCAACTGAGTGATTTAAATAGATACAATCAGTATAAGTATAGCTTAAAAAATCTTCTGGTGACATCAATCACTAAGGGAAAGCTGCAGTGCTGTCAACTATAAAATAATGATAATAGGTCTGGAGAGATCAGGCAGCAGGTAGGGTGCTGGCCGCACATGTGGCTGACTGAATTCAACCCCACATGGTCCCCCAAGCCCTACCTGAGTGCAGAGCAAGAAGTAAGCCTTGAGCATCACCAGGTATGGTCCAAAACCAAAAATGTCCATAACAACTACCTAAGGATTAAAATCCTATTACTCTAGTTTTATTTTTTTTTTGGGAGGGGGTGCGGTGACAACTAGTAGTAGGGCTCAGGGGACTCTGCAGTGACAAGGGCTGAACCCATTCAGGACTCTGGCACGTAAAGTACATCCTGTAGTCTTTTGAGCCTATCTTCTGACACCTAAATTCTATAATATACATAAATGCACTGTGAACTTCCAATATAATAATATTGGCTATATTGAATACATCAATATATAACGCACATAATATATATTAACTAATTATTAAATATATTAAATAATTATATATAATTATTTCTCTCAACTTGTTGTAGCAGCAGTGAAAGGCATCTTGGAGACTCAACATGTCCAAAGTGACACACTAACAAGTCATGTTTTTCTTTGTGTGTATGTGTGGTGTGTGTGAGGTGGGGGGGGGGGCTTAGACATGCCACACCTGTGCTTTATTGGGCTGGAGTGATAGTACAGCAGGTAGGGCGTTTGCCTTGTATGAGGCCCACCTGGGTTCGATTCCCAGCACCTCATATGGTTCCCTGAGTACTGCCAGGGTGAGTGATTTCTGAGTGTAGAACTAGGAGTAACCCCCGAGCATCACTGGGTGTGACCCAAAGAGCCAAAAATCAACCACCAAAAAACCCTGTGCTTTACTGCTGAGCCATATTCCATCCCGCTAATGACTCTTGATTTCATCTCCACAAACTTTCCGTCTAGCCTTAGTATTACACTTAGTATTCCCACCCACCAATTACTCAAGCCAAGAATCCGCAAGTCATCTTTCCTTCCTCTCTTCCTTGGGGTGACATCAAATCCCTCCTGACGGCCGGTTCTCCCGCTAATCTCTTGTGTTCACTCACTGCTCTTCTTCGCTATCATCTACTTCAAAGCAGTTCTATTTATTTTTCATCTTTTAAATTTAGTCACTGAGAAAAGACGAAGTTATTCATGACTGGGTTTCAGGTACATAACGTTTCAACACCAATCCCTGTGGTGTCCACCTCCCTCGGGCAAGGCATTTCTTTGCTGGACTTCTAAACATGAGAATGCACCCTCTTTCCATTCCTTTTTTTAAATAATTATTTATTGCTTTTTGAATCACACCCAGCGATGCACAGGGGTTACTCCTGGCTCCGCGCACAGGGGTTACTCCTGGCTCCGCACTCAGGAGTTACTCCTGGCGGAGCTCAGGGGATCATATGGGATGCTGGGAATCGAACTCGGGTTGGCTGCATGCAAGGCAAACGCCCTACCCGCTTTGCTATCTCTCCAGCCCCAGAGTTCTGGGTTTGATCCCGTGTACTTCCTACACTGTCCCCTGAGAAACAGGAAAGCTCATTCTGAACATGAAGCCAGAAGGCGCCCAAAACAAAACCAAAAAGAAATAAAAAGGCTTCCTGGGCTTGAACTTAACATCTAAATGCTTTATAAAACCCCGTCTATTTCTCTCATCTTCATCTCCAATCATTATTCAGATCATGGAGTTTAACCAGACTTCTGTTCCTCAGATATCCCAAGCCTTTTTCTCAAATCACAGCTTCTTACTCATTTCTTTTCTTTAGAATTATTATTCCCTCCCACTTATAGGAGCCAGAACTACCTTTTATTTTAGCTCTGTGTGATCTACTGGGCAGAACTCAAAAGTCTGGAGCACACTGCAGGATGTGGCCCAAAAATGAAACAAAAAGGAAAAAAGGTGACCTACTCAAGAATTCTCATCAGTTTAGCAAAAGTAGTTCAGCCCTTCTGTTCTTTATCATGTTTTCCCTTGCAGCATTAACCACTATTTGATACTATCTTGTTTAATCTTTGGTCTTCTCCACGGACTTAAAGATTTCAACAAAGTATGGCTGGAGAGATAATACCGTGGGTGGGGCACTTGTCTGGTACTCAGCAGACTGGGTTTGATCCCCCGCATCCCATATGGTCCCCCATCGCTACCAGGAGTGATCCCTGAGTGCAGTCAGGAACCCTAAACAAAACAAAATAATCTCAAGGAAGGTATTGTCTTTTCATAGCTGTAGCTTCAGTTTTTGCTATTGTATTCTGGGTCACACCTGGAGTTCAGGTGTCACATCCGCCAGGAGTAGCCGTCCAATGGTGAGAGATCTCTGCCTATAGTGTGCAAAATAATATTGTGCCAGTAACAGACCCTAAGTCCCTTTGCAGGAAACCATGCTCTCCTGCCCACTGAGCCATTTCTCCAAGTCCCTGCTATCAACTTTTATTTATTTATTTTTACTATGAACTTTTTTTTTCCTTTTCTGCTTTTTTGGGTCACACACAGCGATGCGCAGGGGTTACTCCTGGCGGTGCTCGGGAACTATATGGGATGCTGGGAACCAAACCCAGGTCGGAGATGTGCAAGCAAGGCAAACGCCTTACCTGCTGTACTATCGCTCCAGCCCCAGTACCAACTTTTAAAGCAAAGCTTGTTTATTCAGAGGTGCTCAGAAAAAAAAAAATTTTTTTTGAATGAAACAATTTGGTTTAATTCTAAACACTTCTTCCAAAACATAATGAAGCAGTGGCCCCAAGAAGGGAGAAGTAACATGTCTCAAACCAACTCCAAGTTTGTGGTACATTTGAAACTAAACGTTAAGCTGGCGCGGGGGGGGGGGGGGGGGGGGAGGGGGCCGGGGGTGTTCAAACAGGGCTCACAAGTTCCAAATTCAAAATATGAGATTACAAACCATAAATGTCGGACTGCGGTCAGATCTCGCGTTGAGATGGTCATGAATACTAATAAGATACATCCTCATCCTCAATCCATCCCCCACAAACTCAAGTCATCCCTTTGTTTTGTTTTTTGGGGCTACACCTGACAGCTCTCGGAGCTCAGTCCTGACTCTGCACGCAGGGATCACTCCTGGGAGGGGTCGGGGAACCAACCAGGCCCTTCCAGTCATCCCGTGATTCTTCAGAATCCTTCGAACTCCAGGGTCCCAGCACGCATTGCCTAGGTTACCTGGCACTTCCCAAGTGGAACTTAGAGCCACGCCCATCACCGCCTCGCTCTGATCCGATTGGCCGGCTTTAGCCAGGCCTAGGACTCACCTGGCAGCTCCCGCATTAGGTAGAAGGGACCACTGCCCGCCGCGGACTTGTCGGCGCCAGAAGGGGCCGTGGTCGCAGTGGGGGGCGGGGCTGTGGAGGGTCCTCCTCCCGGAGGGGGGGGTGGCGGGGGCGGAGGTTTCCCAGATCCGAAGCCTAGTGAAGTTGGAGGCGGTGGTGGCTCGGCCTGGGTCCCGAACAGCGCCGTGAAATTCTCCATCGTTCCCTCCGCCCCGCCGCGGTCCGGGTTGTCTGGCGTCGGTGGTTTTCATTGGACAGTCGTTTCACGGTGGACCGCCTTCTTCCTGCTACAGCCGCTTTTCATTGGGCGCTTCTGGCCCCGCCCAGCGACTTCCGCAGCTGCTTCCGTCGCTTTATGTGCGCGTTCAGGAAGTGCCCTCTAACCTTATTCAATAACTCTTCTCTCCGGCGGCTACAATCGCGTAACCAATCAAACGTCTCAGGCGGAAAAAGCAACAGCTACACTGACCAATAAGATAACAAATCCCTTAAACCCTTGCCGCCGAGGCCAATGAGAGATCTACTTCCGGGTTTAGAGGCGGTCCTTCGAGACAAGGCCCAATAGGAGGCTTTAAGTGCCAGAGGGGCGGGACCGAGACTACCAACGCCGTAGAACGGCGGGTGCTGCGAGGGCCGGGAAGATGGCGGTGCTGGCACCTTTGATTGCGCTTGTGTATTCGGTGCCTCGACTTTCGCGATGGCTGGCCCAACCGTACTTCCTCCTGTCAGCGCTGCTCTCTGCTTCCTTCCTGCTCGTGAGAAAGGTGCCCCCGCTCTGCAGCAGTCTCCCCACGCAACGCGAAGACGGCAACCCGTGTGACTTTGACTGGGTGAGCGACCCCCACCCTAGGACCCCACAACCTTGAACCGTCCCTGACCCTGCGGTGCCCGGAGGGAGCTCTGCAGACTCGCCTCTTTTGGGGACACTTGCCATCGCGGGCGGACTTTCAGACCTAGCGTGTGTGGCTTGGACCGTTCCCCAAGAGCATAAGCCCTTTCTGTGTTTAAGATGGGTAAACCGCAGGGTATTCTGCGTAACACCCGGGGGACTTGTGGCTCTGGACCAGGACCCTTCCCATCTCCTTGTCCATCCTCGTCGCTCCCCGTCGTACACGTGCGCAGCGTTTTTGCCTTGCTGCTGCTCTTCTGGAATGAGTGAGGTAGACGACGCAGGTATGGGAGCCCCTGGGAGGCGCCTTGCCCAAGGTCATGCAGCGAGTGACTGGAGTTTGACAGCACTCCCCTGGCCTTAGTACCCTCCCAAGGGCTGTTCCTCCCTGCCTCACCCCCCACCTTTCCTGCCTTTCCTTATTGTGGGGGCCACACCCTGTAGAGCTGAGGGTGGGGAGTTATTAGGGTTCAGGGGATCCAGCACTGAGACTCGCACGTACAATGCAGTGCTCGACTTTTCTTTTTGTGTGTCGGGGGCCATGCGCGTCTGTGCTCAGAGCTTACTCTTGCTTTTGTGCTCGGGAATCACTCCTGGGTGGGGCTTGAGGGACCCGTCTGTGAAATGCCCTCCCCACTGCACGATCTCTCTGGACCTTCCTGTCATTTCTTTTTTTTTTTTTTCTCTTTTGGGTCACACCCAGCGATGCTTAGGGGTTACTCCTGGCTCTGCACTCAGGAATTACTCGTAGTGGTGCTGGTCCGGTGCTGGGGGATCAAATGGGATGCCGGGGATCGAACCCGGGTCCGCAGCATGCAGGGTAAATGCCCTACCCCCTGTGCTATGGCTCCGGCCCCCCTCCTGTCATTTCTTAACTCAGTTAAAATATCCAGAGTCCATACTGTGAGCTACTCTGGACATGCTTCTGCTGTGTATTTGTAGCTGTGTTTTAAGAGAGGTGGCTTGTGTGAATTTTTTAATTTTCTTCATTCCCCTTAAATGAGTTTTGACCTTTACCAGAACTAGTTTCTTTTTCTTTATCCTTCCTCCTTTGTTGACTCACTTAATGCTTGCTCTTTCCTTTCCCTGCCGTTTAATTAACCTCATATGTAGCCATGCTATTTCAGAGGATCTTATTTTTTTTTATTTTATTTTTTTGCCTTTTGGGTCACACCCAGCAATGCTCAGGGGTTACTCCTGGCTCTGCACCCAGGAATTACACCTGGCGGTGCTCAGGGGACCATATGGGATGCTGGGATTCGAACCCGGGTTGGCCGCATGCAAGGCAAATGCCCTACCCGCTGTGCTATCGCTCCAGCCCCAGAGGATCTTATTTTTAATCTGACAGTCTATAAAATGTTAACCAAAATGGGATAGGATTAAGTGCACAACAGGAAGTCTCTTATTCATTTAGTTTTGGTTTGGGGGACATAGCTACCCTTGCTCAGGGCTTATTCCTGACCCTGCACTCAGGGATCAATTCTTTTCTTTTCTTTTTTTTTGGGTCACACCCAGCAATGCACAGGGGTTACTTCTGGCTCTTCACTCAGGAATTACTCCTGGTGGTGCTTGGGGGGACCATATGGGATGCTGGGAATCGAACCCGGGTTGGCCGTGTGCAAGGCAAACGCCCTACCCACTATGCTATTGCTCCAGTTCCACTCAGGGATCAATCTTGACAGGAGTCTGGGAATCATATTGGGTGGAACAGCTAGGGTTTTTTTCGGGGGGGGGTAGGCAGGTTGTGGGTACACACGTGGCAGTGCTCAGGCCTTAACTCCTGCTCTGCTCACAGGTGACTCCCTGTAGGCTCAGGAGACTATTTGGGATGCAGAGGATTGAACTTCCTGGGAGGCAAGCACCCTACTTGTTCTACTGTTCCTCCGGCCCTAAAATAAGTATTTTTGTATAGGGATGTTTTCTCTTATTTCTAAATTATTTAGGACTTATTATGAATGTTTCTTTGGAAAGATGTTTGGTTTACTCATACACCTTGGTGATTGGCAAATTAAGATTTTGAGGTAAGTAGTGTTCGCAATAACAGATAAATCTCAAAATTTTATTGGTTTCACAGCATAAACCTTATTTATTAAATGAAAGAAGCATTTTATTTTTCCTTTATTTTTATCTTTCAGAGTGACTAAAGAGTTGATAAGTGAAAGTTGATAGCGATAGCACAGCGGTAGGGCGTTTGCCCTGCACGCAGCCAACATGGCCGACCCGAGTTCGATTCCTCCGCCCCTCTCGGGGAGCCCGGCAAGCTACCGAGAGTATCTCGCCCGCACGGCAGAGCCTGGCAAGCTCCCCGTGACGTATTCGATATGCCAGACACAGTAACAACAAAGTCTCCAGTGGAGATGTTACTGGGCGCACTCAAGGAAATCGACGAACAACGGGAGGGCCTTTACCTTACCTTTATTAGAAAAAAAAGTTGAGGTAATAAATACGAATGGAATGATAAGATTTAAAAATCTTGGCCTGGTGTGATAGTACAGTGGCTAGGGTGCTTGCCTTGCATGTGGCCAAATCGAGTTTGATCCCCAGCATCCCACATGGTATTCCCAAGCACCGCCAGGAGTGATTCCAGAGTGCAGAGTCAGGAGTAAGCCCTGAACATTGCTGGGTGTGGTCCCAAAACAAAACAAATCGTTAGTGTTGGAGCTATAGTACAGTGGGTCGGGTGTTTGCCTTTTCTATGGCTGACCCATGTTCCATCCCCAGCACCCCGTATGTGCCCGTGTCCATGAGAAGTCATCCCAGAGTACAGAGCCAGGAGTAAGCCCTGTGCACAGACAGGTATGCCCCTCTCCAAAAAAATAATTCTTTAGCAATTCCCAGTGAAATAATAAACAAAGCATGTGCTGGAGAGATAGATCAGTGTCAGGGGCACGTGTCTTGCCTGCTGAAGGTTTCGAGTTCAGTCCCAGGTCTGCATGAGTGTCTGTCCCCTTATCCCCCAGGACTGCCTGGTGTGGCCCAGGTGACACCTGGTCCAGGTTGCATTGCCAGGCAGAGCGTTGAACCATCAGGCATGATTGGATGAGAGTCACCCCAGCCTGATTCCTGGAACTCCCTAAGTACTGCTTGGAAAGGCATAACCCCACCCCCCAACCCCAACCCTGCCCAAACAAAAGGGAAAAATAGGCAGTGAGATCATCATATGTTAGAATCCTTCCACAGCTCAGTTGGTAGACCGGAGGACTGTAGGTGTGAGATTATCAGATGCTGAAATTATCAAAGGTTGATTAGGTAAAGGTAAAGGCCCTCCCGTTGATCGTCGATTTGCTCGAGCGGGCCCAGTAACGTCTCCATTGGAGATTTTGTTGTTACTGTGTCTGGCATATCCAATACTCTCGGTAGCTTGCCGGGCTCTCCGAGAGGGGTGGAGGAATCGAACTCGGGTCGGCCATGTTGGCCGCGTGTAAGGCGAACGCCCTACCCGCTGTGCTATCGCTCCAGCCCATCAAAGGTTGATTATGTCCTTTGAAATGATATAGTAGAGTACCTAGCACCATTCATGGTCTATTTACTTGGGCTTTTTGGCCCACACAGGGCTCTTCCTGGCCCCGTGCTTCGGAGTGACCCCTGTCAGTGCTCACGGGATCTTACTTGCTCCTGGGAAATCTAATCAGAGTCCATGCATGCAAGGCAAGCTCTATTCTCTGGGCCAGAGAGATAGTACAGTGGGTAAGGTGCTTGTCTTGCACATGGCCAACCTGGGTTTGATCCCCAGCACGCTATGTGGTTCCCCCGAGCCCACGACTCTGAGCACAGAGCCGGGAATAAGGTCTGAGCCCTGCCGGGTGTGACCCCCAAACAAACACCAAATAAAAAAGCTGTACTCTTTGGCCAGCTTTCATGAATTGTTTTTCACAAGACTGGGATTCTTTTATTCAAACCTTGCATTTTTCTTTTCCACTTCACATTCATTCCTAGATTACAAGAAATACAAGAGGTTGGGGCTGGAGCGATAGCGCAGTGGGTAGGGCATTTGTCTTGCACACAGCCAACTAAGCTTCAATTCCCAGCATCCCATATGGTCCCCCAAGCACTGCCAAGAGTAACTCCTGAGTGCAGAGCCAGGAGTAATCCCTGTGCATCGCCGGATGTGACCCTCCCCCCCCCCAAAAAAAAAACACAGGAGGTTGAGGGGCATCAGAACAAGTGTGCACGCCGCCAGATCCACAAGGAGGGACGAGATGGCACCAATGACTCAGCAGTCATTTGTAAAAGGCCGGGCTGAAAAAGAAATGCGTGTTTTCTTTTTCGTTGTTAGTTTTTGTGTTTTGGCCAGGTGCTGCAGTACTCAGGAGCTACTCGCAGCTCTGTCTTTGGGGGTCACTCCTGGTGGTACGAGGGGCCAGGTGGCCTCAGGGATCTCTTGTGCTTTTTACCCTCTGAGGTCTCTGGCCCCAGGAAGAGGTTGGCCTGAGACCCTTGTAGTAAAGACAGATTACAGATAAGTGAAAGACAGCGTTAATGAGCATGAATGCCTTTATGTATACAGAGCAGAGACTCAGGGGAAAATGAGTGACTTGAAGAGGTGACTTAGAACTCAGGCTTATCTCATGTTCAACAAGGATAGAATATGTTTTGTTCATTTGTTTGTTTGGGGCCACACCCAGCTGTGCTCAGAAGTTCCCCCTGGCTTTGACTCTGCGCTCAGGAATCATTCCGGAGGAAGCACTGGGGATCGAACCCAGGTCAAGGCAAACACCCTGCCTGCTGTGCTATCACTCCAGCCCTGCATATTTTATTAATTTGTTAAAAAAAATTTGTTAATTTGTTAGAAAAAATTTTGGCTTTTTGGATCACACCTGCTCAGGAATTCTGCCTGGCTCAGAACTCAGGAATTACTCCTGGTGGTGCTCAGGGGACTATATGGGATGCTGGGGATCAAATCTGGATGGGGTACATGCAAGGCAAATGCCCTCCCTGCTGTACTATTGCTCAGGCCTCCAAAGAGGCATATTAAAAAAAACAACCTTTTTAAATTGATATTCTGTGGTTTACAATACTATTACTGATTTCTTGTGCACATAATTCCAACACCACACCACATCATGCAGTTACTGATTGCTTGTGCACATAATTCCAGTACCCACCTCTCTCTCTCTAAAGGACCCCAACATCCCTCACTCTGAAATGCTCTACACCCCCTATAACCCCCATCTGCAGCTCAGTCACATAGATATGTTCTCCCATTATATTGCCTTTGGACCTCAGGGTGGCATACTTTAATGTAACACAGTCTGTGGCCCTGCAGTATCCTCTCTTTCATTTATATTTAAAAATTTTGGGCTGGAGGGATAGCATAGTGGGCAGGGTGTTTGCCTTGCACGTAGCCGACCTGGGTTTGATTCCCAGCATCCCATATGGTCCCCTGAGCACTGCCAGGAGTAATTCCTGAGTACAGAGTCAGGAGTAACCCCTGTGCATCGCCAAGTGTGCCCCCCCCCCCAAAAAAAATATGCCACTTTGATATGGGAATTCTTTTGGGCTTGACAAGTATATAAAGCTGGGGCCAAAGAGTATGGCAGGAAGGGTACCTGCCTCGCACACAACCAACCTGGGTTCAATCCCAAGCACCACACATGGTCCCTAAGCCCCACTGGGAGTGATCCCTGAGCAATTCATGAGAGCTGGTACCCTAAGCACTGCTGGGGATGGCCCCCAAACAAAACAAGAAAAGTTCCCTACCTGCCCTCTATGAAAGCCTGACTTATTTGAAAGGTTTTCCTCCAACCCTCTTTACCAGGGAGAACAAAAGTTATCACAAGTACTAACTTTAGAACCTATGTCCTGGAGATAGAGCATTACACAAATCTACGTATCAAACCAGCCTTAATCTTCAGTTTGCCTTGCAAGTTTGATACCCTTGGAAGAATAAAATGGCCTTCTCTCTCTCCTCTCTCTCTCTCTCTCTCTCTCTCTCTCTCTCTTTTTCTTGGTTTCTGGGCCACAGCCATAGGTGCTCAGGGCTCTGAGCTCAGGGATCACTCCTGGCCGGGCTGGGGGGGCCATATGAGGTGCTGGGGTTGACCACCTGTGCAAAGCAAATGCTATAACCCCTGGACTAGTTCTCCAGCCCAAATCGCTCTCTTCTGCCCTTCTTTTTTTTTTTTTTTTTAATTTTTATTAGTGAAACACCATAGCACAGCGGTAGGGTGTTTGCCTTGCATGCAGCCAATATGGCTGACCCGAGTTCGATTCCTTCGCCCCTCTCGGAGAGCCTGGCAAGCTACCGAGAGTATCTCGCCCACACGGCAGAGCCTGGCAAGCCACCCGTGATGTACTCGATATACCAAACACAGTAACAACAAAGTCTCCAATGGAGAGGTTACTGGGCCTGCTCGAGCAAATCGATGAACAACGGGAGGACAGGACAGGACAGTGAAACACCATGAGGGACAGTTGTAGACTTAATAAATTTTTGTGCTTGAGTTTCAATTACACAATGATCAAGTACCCATCCCTCCACCAGAGCCCACTCTCCACCACCACGGATCCCAATATCCTTCCCATCCCCCATCCTCCCATCCCACCCTGCCTCTGTGGCAGGGCATTCCCTTCCGTTCTCTCTCTCCTTTTGGGTGCTGTGGTTTACAAAAGAGGCATTGAGTGGCAATCATGTTCGGTCTATAGTCTACTTTCAGCATGCTTCTCCCATCCTGGGAGGATCCTCCCAACACCCTTTATTTGGTGCTCCCTTCTCTATCTGACCTGCCTTTTCCCCCAGCATGTGTGGCTGGCCTCCAAGCCATGGAGTAAACCCCCTGGTACTTATCCAGCTATTCTTGGGTGTTAATCTCATATTTTGTTTCTTTATGTTCCCCAGATGAACGCAATCTTTCTATGTCTGTCTCTCTCTTTATGACTCATTTTGCTTAGCATGATACTTTCCATGTAGTACCACTTGTATGTAAATTTCATGACTTCATCCTTTCTAACAGCTACATAGTACTCCCATTGTGTAGATGTACCAAAGTTTCTTTAACCAGTCATCTGTTCTTGGGCACTCAGTTTTTTTTTTTTTCCAGATTCTGGCTATTGTAAAGAGTGCTGCTATGAACAAACAAGTGCAGATGTCACTTCGACTGTACTTTTTTGCCTCTCTGGGATATATTCCCAGGAGTGGTATTGCTGTAAACCTTCCAATAGCACATCAGGAAGGGCTTTTGCCTTGCACGCGGCCGATCCAGGTTTGGTTCCCAGCATCCCATATGGTTCCCTGATAGCACATCAGGAAGGGCTTTTGCCTTGCATGCGGCCGACCCGGGTTCGATTCCCAGCATCCCATATGGTCCCCTGAGCACTGCCAGGAGTAATTGATCCTGAGTGCAAAGCCAGGAGTAAGCTCTGTGCATCACTGAGTGTGACCCAAAAAGCCAAAAAAAAAAAAAAAAAAATTTACATAATAGGGCTGGTGAGATTGGCAGGGAGGATGTTTGTCTTGCAGCCCCTCCCCTGGAAAAAAAAAAACCCAAAACTTAATACAGACCTTAAGAACAATGGACAAACACACCAACCCAGGGTTTTTGTTTCATATAGTCTTGAACCTAGTCTCAAATTTTTGTATGGCTGTAAAGTCACCCTAGCATTATCTAGCCAGCTGATGAGGAACCAGCTGGAATACTGGGGTCCAAGCTTTCTTAACTGTTTGGGCATGGAAGTTGCATTTTTCTGTTCATATTCCATCCCGGAGTACGGGTCACACAGTTTGTAGATACAAGGAGACAGTGACTCTGCAGTATGCCCGGAGGAAGGTGGTTTGACATAAACAAATGCAATCTTGAAATAGACACTCTTCATTCTCTTACCACTTAGTCCTGTCTTTAATTTCCTGATAGACTGCAGTTATTTTATTATTATTATTATTATTTTTTGCAATGCACAGGGGTTATTCCTCGCTTTGCACTCAGGAATTACTCCTGGCGGTGCTCGGGGAACCATATGGGATGCTGGGAATCGAACCTGGGTTAGCTGCATGTAAGGCAAATGCCCTAGCCCCTGTAACACCCTACCCCCTGTACTATCACTCCAGCCCCAGTTATTTCAATTTTTAAGCATCTTTTGGGGCAGGAGAGATAACAGCTTGGTGGGGCACTTGCCTTGCATGTGGCTGACTTGGGTTTGATCCCTAGTGTCCCTTATGGTCCCCTAAGAACTGCCACGAGTGTATTCCTGAGCATCCCCAGTGTGGCCCCCAAACCAAAAAAAAGAAAAACAAAACAAAACCATTTTTTCATGCAGGTAGTTCAAAGTGTTAGAGTGCATGCTGTAAATCTTAGTTCATTGGTTGGTCCTTTTCGTGTTTTCTTTTGGTTGTTTTGGGGCTACACCTGGCGATGCTCAGAGGTTACTCCTGGCTCTGCACTCAGGGATCACTCCTGGTGGGGATCTGGGGATAGGGGATGCCGAGGATCGAACTATCGAACCGGGTTAGCTGTGTGCAAGGCAAGTGTGCAAGCACTGACCCTGGTTGGTTCTGTTTGAATAATTATTGGCTTCCCATGTTACTAAACTGTGTGAATGGCTTCTGACTCCCAGTCTAGCTGCTCTTCAATCAGGCTTTCTCTACTTTGCTTTTATTGCATGCAGCCTGTATTCTTGATTAAACTTGATTCTTTGTCACTTTATAATCTGTCTCACTTGCTCACATGGAGCTTACATTCTAGAAGGAGAGAAAGAACTGCAAGACAACACTTCTTTATAAAGGGTTCCGAAAGGGCCTTTGAGAGTTCTGTCTTCGGTTTTCATATTGTGTTAAAGAGCACGGGTTATCATTATGATTATTGGGTGACAAGGACTAACTTAAGCAAAGCCGAACAAAAGGAATAATCCTTTATTATATAAATAGGAATTAATGAGAAGTTTCCCTGGAAAAGTTTAATTTAACCTGGGTCATATCAAGTTGTGATGGCTTGACAGTTTAGTCGATATCGTACTCCAAATGGTTCTTTCATGCCCATTATCTTATTTCATCCTTATTGTAGCATTTTAAGCCAAAAAAAGAAATGAGGATGGGGGGCAAAAGGAGGAGATCTGGGCCAGGGTCTGGGGCCATGGGCTCCTCTGTGATACAGAGGCGAATTATCCCTATCTAAATCACTAGATCCAACACTGTCATAAGCATGGGACCCAAACTAAAACAATTAAACTTAAAAATTAAAAAACAGTCAAGGAGTCAGGTCTGGGTGGAGCTGGTCAGGCTGGAACAGGGGTCGTCTAGGGTAACGGGTGGGTGATCGGAACAGGGAGTGGTAGGAGTGGAGGTTGGACCATCGTGGGCCTGAAAACCCTTTGTAAATAACCATGCAAATGAAGGTGTCTAAATGAATAAAAAGACAAATTTGAAAATTTGCATTTTGAAGTAGCTTGAAATCAATTCTTGCGACAAAACCAGAGCTCAGAGGTTAAATGGTTTGTTGCAAGGCACCAGCTGCTTCCGGCCACAGGTAGAATCTTAACCTTCACCCTTCCAATTGGTCTTCACTATCCCTTAGCTGCTTCTGGTTCTTTATTAACCCCATTCCCAGTTGAATATTAGGTGGGTTTTAGTCCACATGCAGCCCCCGAAGCCCCCAGCCACATCCTGTCTGTTCATAGCATTCCTGTCCCTTTGGTTCTGTTGCAGAGGGAAGTAGAGATCCTGATGTTTCTCAGTGCCATTGTGATGATGAAGAACCGCAGAGCCAGTAAGTCTAGCGGGGCTCCGGGTCACTCACGCTCAGCCTCGCTGCCCTCCGGAAGTGCTTCCACTCATGGAGGAGAGGACCGTTATTCAGAGAACTAAACTATGTCATGCTGAATTTGATCTTGGATTTTTTTTTTTTGGGGGGGGGCACTCCTGGCCGTGCTCAGGGCTGACTCTTGGCTCTGTGCAGAGGGCTGGCTCCTGGTGGGCTTGAGGGACCATATGTGGGATCAAACCTGGGTCAGCCGCATGCAGGCAAGGGCCTTACCAGCTTACTACCGCTCCGGCTCCTTGGTGCATTTCTATCGTCACCCCTTCTCTCCATTTCACAGTACCCAGGGAGAGGGATGGATGAGTGGATAGGCGCATGCAGCCCTGCTTGACCTGTCTACTCTTTGCATTGCAGTCACCGTGGACCAGCACATCGGCAACATCTTCATGTTCAGCAAAGTGGCCAACGCGATTCTTTTCTTCCGCCTGGACATTCGCATGGGCCTCCTTTATATCACCCTCTGCATCGGTAAGGAGACTGCAAGGTTGGGATGTGGGGGTCAGATTCCAGTCCCAGTTTCTCCATACGCTTTCGTATCCAAAAACCAGTAACAGTTGTGTGTGGCTCAATGATGAAAGTCTATAGAGAAGCGGGTGAGGATGGAATCCGTGGCCTGCGCATGTATGAAGGGTATTCTTTGGTGTTTTTCCCGGAGGCCTTGTATGTTTCCTGTGACATCTTTTCTGTGTTTAGTGTTTCTGATGACCTGCAAGCCCCCACTGTATATGGGCCCTGAGTACATCAAGTACTTCAATGACAAGACCATTGATGTGAGTTCCTTGGGTCCTTTGCGGGTGATGGCGTAGCTGTGCTTTCTCCTCATATTCCCGAAGGAAGGTCTTGGTAGCTGGGGGTGGAGAGGAGGTTCCCTTGTCCCAGTCAGTGTGAACCTTGTCCCTGATGTGTGGGGGGTGTGGCTGTGTGAGCTGTCTCTCATTGTTCCTTCTAACTGTGTCTGGCAGGAGGAGCTGGAGCGGGACAAGAGGGTCACCTGGATTGTGGAGTTCTTTGCCAATTGGTCGAATGACTGCCAGTCCTTTGCTCCTATTTACTCTGACCTCTCTCTCAAGTGAGTAGTGCCAGGGGAGGGGTGATGAACATTGACTGTCACCTTACCTTGGCAATTTTTTATTTTGTTTGGGGGCCACTCCTGGCTTTGCTCAGTGCTTACTCCTGGCTTTATGCCCTGGTGGGGTGTGGGGGACCATATGGGGTGTCAGAGGTCAAGCCCGGGTTAGCCACGTGCAAGACTAGTGCCCTGCCCACCATACTGTTACGCCAGCACCTTTTTTTTTGTTTTATTTTTTGGGGGCCACACCCAGCGAAGGTCTGGTTCTGCACTCAGGAATCATTCCTGGCGGTGCTCGGGGGACCATATGGGATGCTGGGGATCGAACCCGGGTCAGCCTCGTGCAAGTCAAACACCCTACCTGCTGGGCTATCCCCCCCCTTCTTTGTTTTTGACCTTCATTTTTTCCCGTTTGAACCACAGACATTCTCTCTCCCCTCAGATATCTCAATTTCCACTTCACTCTGATCCTTTCTCTCTTTGACTGTACTAAATGATGTTATTTTCAGGTACAACTGCACAGGGCTCAGTTTTGGGAAGGTGGATGTTGGCCGTTATACTGATGTTAGCAAACGGTAAGAGCTTGGATACAGGGACTGGGCCGGGATGGCTCCGAGCGAGGCACACACTTTGTCTTCACACAGTGTTTCCCGTGTCTTGTAGGTACAAAGTGAGCACTTCGCCTCTCACCAAGCAGCTGCCTACCTTGATCCTGTTCCAGGGTGGCAAAGAGGTCATGCGGCGACCCCAGATTGACAAGAAAGGACGAGCAGTCTCTTGGACTTTCTCCGAGGTACGTGTGAAAGAATAGGTAGGGGCTGGGACACAGGCGTTCGCCTGGGTGGGATTCCCAGCTCAGCCACTTACTCTCTGGCTTTTAGAATACGGACGGATTATTAGATCTCATTCTTTCATTTACTTAGAAGAAAAATCTTCGTTTCTTGGGCTGGAACATTAGAACAGCAGGTAGGGTGCTTGGACCCAGGTTTCATCTCCTGCACCACATGATTCCTGGGTCCCCCCAGGAATGATCCCTGAACACAGAGCCAGGAGTAAGCCCTGAGCACAGCCAGGTGTGCCTCCCCACCCAATCTCTCTTTTGGGGCCACATTCAGGGTGTTGCTTGATGTCACTGGATCTGGGGGTCCCTTGGGGTGCTGGGGATTGAACTCAGGCCTCCTGTGTGCAAAGTGTATACTCTCATCCTTTGCGCTCTCTCAACAGCCCTCAACAAATTTATAGTATGCTTGAACCCAGGAAATAATTGTTAAGATTCAGTCTCCAAGGCTCTGTGTCTGTTATTTGTAGGTTTGGGTTCCTTAGCAATCAATTGGAGACAGTGACACTGTCTCACAGTCAAGTTTTTCAGGCATGAAATAATGTTACCCATAATTTTTGGGTGGGTGTTCGGGCCACACTCTGTTGTCCTTGCAAGTTATTCTTACTTGGGCCTTGAGGCTTCCACCCTGTGTGCTCGGGGGACCTTGAAGCTGTAGGCGTCAGCATGCAAAGCCTATGCTCCATTTCTTTGAGCCATCTCCCCTGCCCCTTGACAGTGTGACTGGCACCTGATGAGATACTTAAATATTAATTGATATCTCCAGTACCCCTCAAAAAAGATAATTTTCCCCCCTTTTCTTTTGGCCACACCCAGCAGTGCTCAGGGCTTATGCGTGACTCTGTGCTAGAGGATTACTCTTGGCAGGCTGAGGTGACCAAATGGCAAGCTGGGTATTGAACCCGGTCTGATCTCTTCTACAATATCTCTGGCCCCCGGAATATTTTTCTTTTCTTTTTTCTGGCTCTGCTGGGGTGGAGGGTGTGTGTGTGTGTGTGTGTGTGTGTGTGTTGTGGTGGAGGGTGTGTGTGTGTGTGTGTGTGTGTGTGTGTGGTGTGGTGGAGGGTGTGTGTGTGTGTGTGTGTGTGTGTGGTGTGGTGGAGGGTGTGTGTGTGTGTGTGTGTGTGTGTGTGTGTGTGTGTGTGTGTGTGGTCTCTTCTGGGAGTGCTCCTGCAAAGTATGTACTCCTGCCCATTGAGCTATACCCTGCCCCTAGATTTTCGACTGTTAATCTTTGCCTAGACTGTGGTTAAGTACTTATTATTCCCCAGTCTTTGAATTCTCCCTTCCAGTCTGAGCCCTGATGTCTGCATCTCTTTTGCACAGGAGAATGTGATCCGAGAATTCAACTTGAATGAGCTGTATCAGCGAGCCAAGAAGCTATCAAAGACTGGAGATAGTATTCCCGAGGAGCAGCCGGTGACCCCAACTCCAGCAGCAGATGGGGAAAGCAAGAAGGACAAATAAGGCCTTGACAGTGCTTTCTGTCAGGCCCAGGCACCTCGGAGGCCCTTGCCCCTTTCAGTAACCACAAGCCCTGTCTGAGGCCTTGGTGTGTTTTATTTATATTTTCCCTGTTTGTGCCTAGTAAGGGGCAGAGTGCTGCTTCTGATTTTAAAGAGGCATGTAGGGGGTTGTCAAGCACCCTCCTGGAAGGTTCCACTGCTGCTGCCAAATATTTGGAGGAAGGGAGGGATCTCCTATGATGGAAAAGGAAATGCTTTTCCTCCAAGCTTGGGTCAGCCTGTCTGTCACCTGCTGTCCATCACTCACGTGTTCACTGTTAATGTGCTTTCATTAATCATTAGTGGGTACTAAGTGGATACCAGCCTGCTTAGATTAGATTCAAGCCTAATTAATACGAGATGCTAGAAGCAGAGTCAGCACTACAATTTGTACCCCCTCCAGGATGAGTTGCTTCTTTGGGTACGGCTTGATCAGTAGCCTTCCTCAAAAAGTAGAAACCTGACTTGGTTGGTCACTGGTCCCTGGGCCGAAACCCGATTTTCAACACCCCTCCCCCTAATCCCTCCCTGGTTTTAAGGAGACTGAGAGGAAGGGGACTAGAGGTTTGAGATACTCCTTTGTGTGGTGATGCCAGGGGCTGAGAACCCTGGGGCAGGAATGGGGTTTCCGTTTGCACCCCCCCCCTCCATACACTCACACACACCTCCTCGGCGGTTTTCCGTAATAAAGAGACTGGGTTTTCCTTTTGATTGCGCCTTTTTGTGTGTCCCAAATGAATTTGAAAAGCCTTGGCAATTTAACTGCAGGGGGTTGGCCCGCTCCCTCAAGGCCCTCCGGAGTAGCTGCACCGAAAACCCAGCCGCGAATCCCCGGCTGGAGGAGTTTGGGGCAGGGGGCGCGGACTTCGTTCCCTCCTGAGTCCCCACCGCCCTGAGTTAGGGGCGGGGAAGACTCGGGATTGGTCGGCGGGTTCCAAGCAGCAGGCGCGGGGAGGGGGTGAGACGCCGCGGTGTCCCGAGGCTGCTATTGGCTGGCCTGTCCCGCCGCCGGGCGTCCGCCCCTCGGCCCGGATGCCGGTGGGCGCGCCCGACGCCCCCTGCGCCGGCGCCGGAAGGTCCCGCCTCCCCAGACCACGTGTGCCCGCCGCGGGGAACCGAGTGTTACCCGCTCGCGGTCCGCGCCGGGGCGCCATGGCACCGCGCGGGAAGAAGCGCAAAGCCGAGGCGCCAGCGGCGCCGGTGGCAACGGCCGAGAAGCGGGAGAAAGTGGGCAGCGAGCTGCCCGAGGTGGAAGAGACGGTGGTCGTCATCGAGCACTGGTGAGGGGCGCGGAGGGACGCGGGAGGCGGAGACCGGGGGCCGGGGGTGCCGGGGGCTCAGGGCCGCCGTCCTCACCTGCGCGTTTCTCCTTAGCACCAGCTGACGCGTCTACGGGCGCAACGCCGCGGCCGTGAGCCAGGCGCTGCGCCAGGAGGCCCCCGAGCTGCCCGTGAAGGTGAACCCCACCAAGCCCCGGCGGGGCAGCTTCGAGGTGACGCTGCTGCGCCCGGACGGCAGCCGTGAGTTGCGGGGGGCTGGGCCGGGGGAGGCGGGGGCTGCGCCGCGCGCCGCCGCGTGTTGGCGCGCAATCACGGATGCGCTTCCGGGGGTTCCTTTCCCAGGCGCGGAGCTCTGGACTGGGATTAAGAAGGGTCCCCCGCGCAAACTCAAGTTCCCGGAGCCGCAGGAGCTGGTGGTGGAGCTGAAGAAGCACCTCCCGTAGGACCGTCCTCGCGCTGAGGTGGGGAGTAGTGGGGGGATCGGGGAGGGCGGGCGTGTGGTGTAGACAGCCGCCAAGCGCCCGGGTCGGCCGTGGGAGCCCGTTAGTTTCACACGCGCGCTTGGTTCCCAGAATCGCCGCAACGGGGGGTTACCCTTCTTCCCTTTGCACTGGTGAAAAATACTGAGATGGACACAGTTGTGTTTGCTAGCTAGCCGGCGCCATCTACGGACACCCTGTTGGCTTCATTATAGAGCTCATTGATGGTGACGTAAAGGATCTTGATTAAAATGCAGATTTTTTTTTAAAGATACGGTTATTTGGGGGGGAGACAATGCATTTTCCACATACCTGTCAGCTTGTATTCTGAATCTTTGTAAATTCTGATTGTAAATTCTACTCAGTGAAATAAATTATCCCTGTTTAGTGAGATTATCATTATTATGTTAAAGGTCACTAAAAGAACAACTGATAGGTCTTATAGTTCTGTAAGGGCCACTACTGGTAAAATACATGTGTGCTCATTTACCGTGTGGTATGCATCCTGTTAAGAGCCGGGTGTGCCGTGCAAGGGTTTGATGGTGTGCTGGCATGTTGGGTGCGGTAGCTGGGGATGGAGGAGAGGATGCAGCTCTTGCTCGCCCAGGTTTGTGGGGCTTAAGAGCATGGGAGGGGCACTTGCTTTGCACATGGCCAACCGGGCTTCTATCCCTAGCATCCCACCCTGCCACCATCGGGAGTGATCCCTAAGCTCAGAGCCAGGGTAAGCCCCTGACCCCAAATTTTAAGAAATCATAAGGGGAGGGGTGGTATGTTTTACTCAGGCTTTGGATTGCTCGACTGCCTTCTCTAATTGTTCCTCCCTCTTAATATTCACAGCTTTCTGTTCCTGGTGATGTTGGAGCATTGATGATGGAACATGACCAAACATTAGTCATGTTCCTGAAGCCAAGTTTTCTTTCTCTCCAGAAATGACAGTTCAGGAACCCCCCCGAGTAAGGCACTGAAAAAGTCTTGGATTTGGTTTGCTTAATAAAAATTCAAATAAAGCGCCTGAATAGTAAAATAAAACTTATTCTCATGTTTAGTTAGGGTCTGGTCTTAACTCCTAAATCTCTGGGGAAAATAATTTTAAAAAATTGTTTTTTCCAATTTACTGGGGGGCTGGAGCGATAGCACAGCGGCAGGGCATTTGCCTTGCACGTGGCCAGCTGGGCTGACCCAGGTTCGATTCCTCCATCCCTCTTGGAGAGCCCGGCAAGCTACCTGTGACATAATTTGATATGCCAAGCACAGTAACAAGTCTCACAATGGAGGCGTTACTGGGCCTGCTTGAGCAAATCAATGAACAACAGGAGGACAGTGATAGTGAATTTACTTGGAAGTGAATGGAGGTAGAGGTACATCTTCCTGATCCCTGGGGACATTTTGGCTAAACTGATAAGGGCAATGATACATTGGGTGCCAGACATTATGGAACTATTTCTACCTCAGTGCTGCTTCACATTCTAGAAATTTTTGCTACACAAAACCCTTGCTGCAGGAGGTAATTTACTTCAGCTTTCCTTGAATTGGTAGTAACTATGCTTCATGACCAGAGAATCCTGGTGTTGGCTGTTAACTACCCATTGTTGTTGGGGACCACACAGTTTATTGACTCGTCACTATAAAATAGGTTACAAAGAAGTAAAATGGTTTGAGTTCATAATTTTCTAAGCATGTTACATCTGCCTGCTCCCAAAGCTTGGGAGGGGAGGAGGGGACTTGCAGAAGAGCCAGGGGTATACCTGCCCCATGCTGAGGCTGCATATGCTAGCCTCTGCTGGGTACATTTCCTTCCCCAGAGCCCCTGCCCTCCCCTCCCTCCTGCCACTACGTTAGTATGTCAATTTCTGTTTCTGACTCTGAGGAAGGGTCAGGCCATACAGAAAGAATACTGATGGGCTCCAGCCTTCCCTCAGACGAACAGTCCATCACATCGATTTCCTCCTCTTCTGGGCTGGCAGGAGGTGGGACCAACAATTCGGAGTTACCAAATATCTCTCTTCCTGCCTCTGGTGCAGGGAATAATATCTCATTTATAGTTAGGGATGCTTCCAGCCCAGTCTCCACCCAGTTTGAACAGAGAGGGGAAGGGTCCTCATAGGACCTCGGAGGAGGGCCAAGGGAGTCAAGGTGAAGTTGCTCGTCTCTCTGACCATCTAGTGGCAGGGAGCTGGTAATTGCTAGGTCTGGAGACCAAGAGCCTCTTACTGAAAGCACCTCCCCTTCGCTTATCTCTGTGGTCATCACAAGGGGGCTAAGGGGCTCCATTGGCTCTTTGGTCTCAGTGGGCATGATAAGGGGGCTAAAGGGCTCGATTGAGTCTTTGTTCTCACCAACAGGTTCCTTTTCCAATCCTGTGAGCTCTCTGGGCCAGAGTTCCATGTCTGGCAAACACCATTCTTGCCCTTCAATCCAGTTTTTTCCTGTTTCTGTCAGGTCATAACTGGGGGTCCTGCAGCCTTCAGCCTCGGGACTTTCTAGAGATCTTATGGGTGGCTCAATACCGGAGCCACAGAGCATGAAGTCCAAGATCTCCTCCAGCTCACTGGTGGCAGCAGCACTAGTGATTCGGTACTCCTCGGCTTCACAGGGCTGCCCAAGCAGACTTGTGTCAAACGTGTAAGGGTCTCTGCAGTCAATAGCCAACCCAGTTTTCTTCCCCACCAGCTCGGGACTCGACCCAAACTCGGATTTCACCACTGGGTAGTCAGGGGAGCGGCTGGCAGAGAGTAGAATGTCTTGAAGCCTAGAGCACATGGGTGAGTCCTGACATGGGTCCAGTCTTGGGGATGACATTTCTCTCTCATTCACAGAGGACGGTTGGGTCCCTGAAAGCTCATCGGAGTCTCCAGGTTCTGGTACCTGAGGGCTGGGCTGTGAATTGTTGAGGGGAGGCTCCTGCACCACCTCCCAGCAGGTCCCGTTGACAATCTTGCGGAGTTTTACTCTCCCAACCTGCCCCTCCTCTGCAGGGTCAGAGTTAGGTGCTCGGGCCTCAGGGCTCCGCTTCTTAGTCCCACCTGTCTTTCCAAGACCTGATGTGCTCGGGGTACTGGGTAGAGGACTAGCTCGTCCTGTTTTCTCCTTGTCCTCTGGTACTTCCTTCTTTATGCTCTTCTGTCGCCAAAGTCGCCGGCCAGGGCTGGGTCCACTTACGATGCTGGAAGGATTGGCTGTACACACATCAGGAGATGGCATTGAACGACTTAGCCGGATTTTTCTGGGCAGGAGCCGTTCATCCACAGCAGGATACAAACTGGCTGGGGAAAGTGCTGCTGAACCCAGGGTAGGGGTAGTCTTGTTCTCTTTAGGTGCCGGACTGTGGCTTGATGGTGACAAGTTTTTTTCTTGTGTAGCTGGGCAGGTTCTGGCCTTCTTCTTGAGCACATGAGTTCTTGACAAATTCTCGGCACTTTGTCGATTGTTCTTCTCCTGGGGCCCTTCCTCCTTTCCCGAGGATTTTAATCTCACTGTCCCAAGAGGGCAGGGACTCTGGGTATCAGGCAGTGGAGTTCGAGGGCGGTGGCTGGATGCTACTACCCTGGCAGAGATTGGTGCAGTACTGGGCGGTTGTAAGCACTCACGATTTAGTCTTCGGCCCTGAGGAGCCTTGACTAGCTTCCCACCCTCTAGCTGAAGGGATTCTAGCTCAGATACACGGAGTTGACGGGCAGCAGAAAGCACCTCCTGGGCTTCTTCCTGAGATACTTCCATCTCTGAGGTATAGAGAAAGTCCACCAGCTTCCTAAGAGTCCTAATCTTCAGGCCTCCCAGCTCCAGCACCACCTTCCGACCCTGAACGGGTCTCTCCCGCTCCAGTCGCTCTGTAAAGAAGGGGCTACAGGCAGACAGGATGCAACAATGGGCTGGGACTGTCCCACCTAGAGAGAAATCCAAACACTATCATCTCATGCAGACTGACAACGGCTAGACATTACTACCCAAATTAGCTGCTACTTCTCCAACTTCCTTCCATGTACATTCAAGTAATAGGAGAAATCCTTTTCTATTCCTTTTCTAGAATTTACTGTTTTGGTAATTTGATATTAAAATTAAAACTGGGGGCCTCAATCCCCAATCACATATGGTTCCCCAGCCCAGCCAGGAGTGATCTCTGAGCACAGCTGGTGTGGCCCCCAAACAAAATAACAAAAATAAAACCAGGAGCATGAGACATAGGGCAGGTGTTGAGATGCTTTCCTTGCACACTACTGACCCTGGTTTGATCCCTGGCACTGCATATAATCCTGTGTGTGTTCACCCAGGAGCGACCCCTGAGCACAGGGCCAGAAGTAGCTGTAAGCAATACTGGTCAGGCTGAACTTTGATTCCCTCCCCATTCAAATTAAAACTGAGTTAACTCAATTTTTATCCTTTAATATTTTATTTATTTATTTATTTGTGGGGGGGGGGGTTGTGCCATACCCAATGATACTCAGGGTTTACTCCTGGCTCTGCACTCAGGGATCACTCCTGGTGGGACTTGGGAGACCTTATAGGATGCCAGGATAGTATCAGTGGATGGATAGGGTCTTACCCACTATATTTTCTCCAGCCCTTTCAGTAGTTTAGAAAGTCTTCCCCCACCCCACCCAAGTCTATGTTAGTTGTCCCCGGGAAGGAAAAGGACCTTGTAGCAATCATTATCACTTAGCTGTCTCTAGTGTAGTATCTCCTTTACTATAAACTTTTGTTTTTGGGCAACGCCCTGAAGTGTGATGCTCTGGATCACTCCCATCTGTGCTCAGGGGGACCGTGCAGTACCAGGGATCAAACTGGGTTTCCTGCATATTTGGCATGTATTTAGCCTATTTAATTAGTATTCCTGGCCTATAAGCTCTTGAGGATAGAGACTGTATGTCTTGCTCTTTTACATATAACTGCTGCTTGGCACAAAGTAGAGGATCAAATAGTTGCTGAATAAATATTCAATAAATATTGCTGGTAAGTTAAAAAAACTTGAATAAAATTTTTAGAGTTAAAGTTACATGAAGTGGGGGCTGGAGTGACAGCACAGTGGGTAGGGCATTTGCCTTGCACGCAGCCGACCCGGGTTCGATTCCCAACATCCCATATGGTTCCCTGTGTACCGCCAGGGATGATTCCTGAGTGCAGAACCAGGAGTAACCTGTGCATCGCCGGGTGTGACCCAAAAAGCAAAAAAAAAAAAAAAAACCCCAAAAAACCACAGTTACATGGAGCAATAGTACAGAGGTTTAAGTGCTTGCCATGCATGCAGTTAACTCTGGTTCTATCCCTGGCATATGATCCCCCAAATACCATAGGAGTTATCCCTTCCACCTCTGAGGAAGCCCTTGAGCATCTCCTGGTATAACCTAAAAATCAGGACAAATTACCCTCCCTCCTTCCCATCCTTAAACCTGTACCCCCAAAAGAAGTATCGTGTTTTAACAGAAAGAGAATGAGCAATGGATATGGATAATTAAGATTCATCTCTCATGAGCTCTTGAAACTGCTACCTGTCCTGAGTTTCTTCCTGTAAGGGCACTTTTCAGGCAATCTCTCCAAAAAGCTTCAATTACTGAAGCCTTGCTGAGCCTATCTCTAGGCAGAATCTTTTTTGTTTGTTTTGGGGCCATATCCTTTGATGCTCAGGGGTTACTCCTGGCTATGCAATTGGAAATCATTCCAGGACGTGGGTGCTTGGGGGACGACACGGGATGCCAGAGATGTAGCCTGGGCTGGCTGCATGCATGCAAGAACCCTACCTGCTGTACTATCACTCTGGCCACTCTAGACATAATCTTTTCTGAGATATTCATATGCCACAGGTTGCAGGCCTACATGCATGTCCAAGCACCCTTCAATGCAAAAGAATTTGTCATTCCCCATTTCTCAGACCTCTACTATCTCTTGCATAGGTCTCATTCACATAGTGCTTAAAGCTGATAACTACAGATCATCTGTGATTCTTTCTGTTACCCACTAAAAGATTACTTTTTGGGACCAGGAATAGTACAGCAGGTAGTACGCTTACCTTTCCTGTGACTGACCTGGGTTTGATCCTTTGCAACCTGTAAAGTCCCCTGAGCTTATTAGGAGTGATCCCTAAGAGCAGAGCTAAAAGAAAGGCCTGAGCACCACAGACTGTGGCCCAAAATCTCATCCCTCAGAAAAGTTAAAACTGATACCTTGAGTCATTATTTACAAGCATTGTCCTAAGAATCATACAAGCATTGATTCATTCTTCACTGTAAGCCTGTGACTTATTGTTATTGCTGATAAGTAAGTTTTGTCGTAGTTTAGTAATATACCCACAATTCTATAGTAAGTAAGTACCACAGACAAGGTCACTATACACTACAGAGATTTTATTCTTTTTTGGGGGGGTCACACCCAGCGATATACAGAGGTTACTCCTGGCTCATGCACTCAGGAATTATTCCTGGCGGTGCTCAGGGGACCATATCCAAATGGAATGCTGGGAATCGAACCCGGGTCGGCTGTGTGCAAGGCAAACACCCTACCTGTTGTGCTCCTACTCCAGCCCCAGAGATTTTATTCTTTAAAAAACAAAAATGTTTCCCCCTTTGGCTTTTTGGCAACACCCAGCATTACTCAAGGGTTACTCCTGGCACTCCACACAGGAATTACTCCTGGTAGTACACAGGAACCATACAGTATGCAGGGGATTAAATATGGGTTGGCCAATGCAGGGCAAGTCCCCTATCCCACTATACTATCGATCCGGTCCTGAGTTTTGCTCTTAACAGCAGCCAAGTTTTATAAATTTTCTCTATCACTGTATCACTGTCATCCCGTTGTTCATCAATTTACTCAAGCGGGCGCCACACCTCCATTCGTTCCAGCCCTGAGATTTTAGCAGCCTCTCCTTACTTATCTTTCCCAACACTGCCGTATTGGAGGCTCTTTCAGGGTCAGGGGAATGAGACCCTTTATTGTTACTGTTTTGGGCACATCGAATACGTCACGGGTAGCTTGCCAGGCTTTAAATTTTCTCTAACAGTTCATAAATCATGTATTTCTATCAAGGAACGGTCATCATTTCCTTTCTTCTGGATTACAATCAGCCTCCTATCTGGACTCAAAATAGCCAGTGGGGTTCCTTCTCCATCCTGAGAATAGTCTGCACCTCAACCTAAGATGTGTGCCCTTGGCATCCCTCTTCCTGAAGATAGTGTCATCTCTTGAACATATAACCGTATCTCTTTTTTTCTCTTCCTCACATCTTTCTCTAAGAAAATTTTTTACTTTTATTATTATTATTACTATTATTATTATTATTAGCAGATTTTTGGGTCACACCTGGCAGTGCTCAGACGACCATATGGGATGCTGCATGAAAGGCAAACACCCTACCCACTGTACTATCATTCCAGCCCCTAAGACAATTACTTTAAAACAATTATACTTTACATACATAACACACACTTACATAGATCCTTTTGCTTAAGACACAGTACAGAGATCATAGTGCTTGCATTTCATGGGAACCACAGAGCTATTTTGCATTCAATTCTGAAACCACTTGGTCCCCCAAACACCACCAAGAGTAACCCTGACACTGAAAAGAGTGATCAACACCCTTTTCCCACCAAATCCAATCCAGTAAATCTCATGCGGCATGAGAAAAGTACCTTTCTTTTGGTTTTCTCTTTTTGGGCCACAGCTGGTGATGCTGTGGCTCTGTGCTCAGGAATTACTTCTGGGGGGTTTTGAGAAATCATAATGGGGTGCTAGGGATCAAATCACAAAGGACACATGCCAGGCAAAAAAGCCTTACTATCTCTCTTGCCTTACCTTCTTAAAACAAATTTCTCCAAATAAAACATCAAAAATCCTTTTTCATTTTTTTTTTTTTACTTTTGTGGGTCACACCCAGCAATGCACAGGGGTTACTCCTGGCTCATGCACTCAAGAATTACTCCTGGCGGTGCTTGGGGGAACCATATGGGATGCTGGGAATCGAACCTGGTCGGCCACGTGCAAGGCAAACGCCCTACCCACTGTGCTATCTTTCCAGCACCTCAAAAATCATTTTTTAGTGTTCTGAGGACAAAACCTATTCCTGTCCCTCCACTCTTTGTCACCTCTTCCCTTCAGTCCAGGATTGAACCCAAGGCCTCACACTGACTCTACCACTATAGCACATCCAGAGCATAAAGCTTCTTTTTAATAGTATTTTGGATCTTACACGTCTGCTATTAATTTCTCTAGTCATATCTCTGATCAACCTCTGGTTCCAGCCACAGCCATGCCGTGTAATCCCATCAATAGCCAAGACTCAGAGACTATAAAACCCAGCTCCCTGAAGAAAACAGCACAGAGTCTCCTGCCTCCGCGCCTGGCTGTCCTCACCGGGGCCCCTTGGAAGAGGGTGGGTTGAGTTTTCCTCTCTGCTGAGCAGAGCCCTGGCAGCTGAAGACCTCCGATTCCAGCCATAGCCATGCTTAAGACCACTCTCCACACATTTGGATGAGCCTCACGCATGAAGGAAACAGATGACCCAGGTGGGTGGGACCTGGGCTTAGATCGCCAAGCCTGTGTATTGGGACTGGGCCTCCTCCACCCAGATCCCCGATCTTCCAGTATGTAGGCGTTACACCCACCAACTGCCCCTGGCGCCATGTAATCCCATCAACAGCCAAGACCCAGAGACTATAAAATCCAGCTCCTGGACATCTTATTATCTAGTTCTTACTCTGGAGAACCTGGTAGGCTACCAAAAGCATCCTGCTCACATGGCAGAGTCTGGCAAACTCCCTGTGGCATATTCAATATGCCAAAAACCATGATGGGTCATGTCTAACAATGATGGGTCTCATTCTCCTGACCCTGAAAGAGTCTCGAATGTGGCACTTTCTAAAATCTCAGGGCTAGGACGAAGGAGACGTTACTGGTGCCTGCTCGAGGAAACTGATGAACAACATGATGACAGTGGTACAGTGGTATCTCTGATCAATACTCAATTGCAGTCTGCTAGCTAGCTCTAGGCTGGAGTGATAGCACAGTGGGTAGGGCATTCGCCTTACAAGCGGCCAACATGGCTGACCCGAGTTCGATTCCTCTGCCCCTCTCGGAGAGCCCGGCAAGCTACCGAGACTATTTGATATGCCAGACACAGTAACAACAAAGCCTCCAATGGAGACGTTACTGGGCCCGCTCAAGCAAATCGACAATCAACCTTTACCTTTTTAGCTAGCTCTAAGGAACCAGTTACAAATCCCTGTTCATGACTCCAATCTCTACATGCTGTTATCTCTGCCTGGGAAAATCTTTCCCCACTTCCTCTTACATCTCTTTGTCCTTTAGATCTCACCTAAGGGGTTATTAACTCCAAGAAAATCTTGACCTCCATCCTCTAACTTCCTCTTATCATAAAGGATGGTTCTCTTTGTGCTCCTCTACCAGTCTATACTTACCAAATGTGTTATTAATACACTGCACAATTACTTGAATGCAACAGTTGAGTGTACCCTCCTTACATGATTTCTTTACACGAAAGAGCTATGCCCATGTTAGTATCTTGTACTTACATACAACAGGTAATATGTACCATTTTTTTTTTAGCTAAATATGATTTAAAAGAATGAATTGGGGGCTGGAGCAATAGCACAGCAGGTAGGGCGTTTGCCTTGCACGCGGCCAACCTAGGTTCTATTCCCAGCGTCCCATATGGTCCCCTGAGCACTGCCAGGGGTAATTCCTGAGTGCAGAGCCAGGAGTAACCCCTATGTATTGCCGGGTGTGACCCCCCCCAAAACTAAAAGAGAATAAACAGAGAAGTCAAGCACTTAATGCTATAGGCCCTCAACTTGTTGATCTGCAGAAATGAAACCATCTATTACTGATTGCACAATACTGTTATAAGAATCAAATAAAACATTTTATGTACTCTGCAAACTGTCAAATGCCACACAACGATGATTGCCATAATATATATTTACAAATGAAGAAACTAAGCTTGAGAGAAAAATCATTTGCATATTTGTCACTTAGTCACTTAGTAACAAAGCCAAGATTATGGTTTTCATAAATGATGCCTTGGGTTTGATAACTGGCACCACCAAAATTAAATAAACTCAGGTTGTCCTGTCCCCTAGTCTTTGGTATTTTACAATATGCCATTGTGTTCTACCTCAGGCTGACTTAACATTTCACGTGTAAAGGTAAGGGATGGAAATAAGGTATACTTTTAGACCTAATAATAAGCAACAAAAGCCATCAATTTGAAGATAAGAACTGATATTATTCAACAGCTTGGCAAGGAAATGGGAAAATAGGTATCATCTATTACATATATTACTTATCTCAAGTGAATTTTTAAGTGCTTTAGGTACATTAACTCAATCTTCCATTAAGATATTACTATTCATTTTAAAAAAAATGTTTTGTGTGTTGTGAGGGACCAAATCTAGTTACCACTCACCTAGATTTGGCTGTACTATTTCTCTGGCTCCTTTATTCCCCCTTAAACTCTATGTCATACCTGGTAGTGCTTGGGGACCACTCTCTGCAATGCTTGTGGAACCATGTGGTGTCAGAACAAAACCAGAGTTGACTGCATGCAAAGTATGCACCTTAATCGTGTACTATCTCTCAGGACTCCTAGATTTTTTAGAGGGGGATTTGAAGCCACATCTGGTATTGCTCAGAGGTTATTCCTGCCTCCATAGCTCAAGGTTGCTCCTGGCAGTGCTTGGGGAACAAGGTAGTGCTGGGAACTGAATCTAGGCCTGCACGCAAAACATGCACTTAGCCTGTTGATATGTCTCTTTAGCTCCACAACCCCTCCCACCTCCAGTTCAGCTTTTTTTTGGTTTTTAAGTCATACCCAGCTGTGCTCAGGACTTACTCCTGGCACTGTTTAGGGATCATTCTGCATTGTTTGGGGTGGGGATGGGGGACCATATACAGTGCAGGGACTGAGCCTAGGTCAGCCGCATGCAAGGCAAGGTGCCTTACCTGCGCTGAACTGTCTTTCTGATCCCCATGATTTAACTTTTAAAGAGAAAAATAGCAGTCTACTTTTTACTCTTGAAACTCTTGAGTCAGTCCTAGAAGGAAACAGCTCTTTAACAAATCGTTTGCAGTGCTCAAAGGCAAGCATGTTTTTCTGGTATTATTCACAAACCCCAGTCCTAGATTCGGCTTTTAAAAATTCTATGGTGAGTTTCTCACCGATTCCCCATTAGGCTCTTACCTTCTGCCTGCAGAAGGACATCACAGAACACACCACTCTGTTGCTGATGGTGAAGGTGCAGAAAAGCTACTCGAAGGAAGCGAGGATTCCTGTACACGATTTTGGGGCTGGCAGAGGAGCACATGGTGGTCTCTTAACAAACTGAGGTTTTCACAGATCAGATTCCTGCGGTGAGATAATAAATTTCAGAACCATCGTTTATACCTTATGTTTCTTTGCTTTTGCTGTTTTGTCTTTGACATGGAGAATTTTTAAATTTATAGATGAGAGCATGAGTCGAGGAACTAATCAGCCCAGAAATTGTGCCAAGGGTATCTCAAGAAAGAATATGAGGGGCTGGAGCAATAGCACAGCGGGTAGGGTATTTGCCTTGCATGCGGTCAACCCGGGTTCGATTCCCGGCATCCCATATGGTCCCCTGAGTACCGCCAGGGGTAACTCCTGAGTGCAGAGCCAGGAGGGACCCCTGTGCATTGCCGGATGTGACCCAAAAAGAAAAAAAAAAAAAAGAATATGAAAGAACATGTGGGACCTTACAGATAAATCTAGACTCAAATTTCAATTTTGTTATTAGCCTAAGCTATACAACCTCAGGAAAATTACCAAACTTTTCTGAACCTCACCTTTCTCACCCATGAAATGGGAATGATAACAGTACTTACCTCACAGAGCTGTTTTAATTAGTCATTTTTCTTTTAGACTTTTTTTTTGGGGGGGGGGCTACAACCAGAGGAACTCAGGGCTTACTTTTGGTTTGAGCTCAGGGATCACTCCCAGGAAGGTTCAGGGGACCATATATGTTGCTGGGGATTGAACCCAGGTTGGCTGTGTGCAAGGAAAGTGCCCTATATGCAGTACTATCTCTTGGCCCCTTATATATTTTTTCCTTGGAGGGTAGGCAGCCTGCTGTACTCAGGGTTTCTACATGATCCTAAACTTAGGGATCACTCCTGGTGGGGCTTGAGGGATTGTATGAAATTCAGGGATGGAACTGGATTGACAGCAAGGTAAATGCCTTACCTGCTATTCATTAAACAAATATTTCTCTGGCCCTATTTATTACGATTTATTCGTTTGGGGACTACACCCGGCCCATCTTAGTGGTTCTTCCAAGGTGTAACCTCTGGTGGTACTCATATATGTGATGCCAGGGTTTCTTACCAGTGCTATAGCCACTACAGCCACAAACAAGGCAAATGCCTTACCTTCAGCCCAACAGGAATGTTTTAAGAATTAAGTGAGTTAATTCAGGGACCAGACCCATGGACAGCAGGTAAGGCATTTGTTTTCCATGCAGCTGACCTGGGTTTGATCTCTGGCACCCTATACAATCTCCAGAGTCCTGCCAGGAGTGATCTCTGAGCACTACTAGTGCTCCATTCAGGTAAGTTTGTTAACTATTCTTACCTTTACTTATGGTTAACTATTAATTATTCTTACCTTAATCATTGTTTAACTAGATTGTTAACTATTCTTACCTTAAGTAATTAATCCTACCTGAATTATTCAAGTAAGATTGGCACTCTGAGTGTCACAGACTCTCATACCCAAAGTGGTAGCTGTTATTATCCTTAAACCTTTTCCATTCACATTCCTGCTGAAATTCCACTCCTACAGGGACAACTTCCCCCTCTTCCCTGAGCCGCCTCTGAATTCTACGAGTATAAGCCTCAATTTAACACTGAAAGAAGCAATCGTGAACATAAAATTCTCTAATAAGTTTGTTGCACAGAATTTTCCCTCTGAACCTGTTCTATCACACTAACCAGCAGAGGGTGCACAGCAAAGAAAAGCCGCTGGCCTTGGTAGGATAGTCTCACACAAATCTGAACACTGTTCTAGTGAAGAACCAAAATGTTCTTCATTAAGACCAACCCACTCTTGCCTGAAAACTGCCACAGAATCTGGCCTGGAGATTTGTCAAAGAGGTTGGCAGAGGTTTGATCTCCGGTACCACATAGGTTCCTCCAAGTCCTGACAGGACTGATCCCTGAGAACACAGCCAGGAGTAAATACTGAACAAGGCACCTTGTGGTCCCAAAAAATAAATAAATAAATAAATAAAAAATAAAAATAAAAATGGGCTATCGTGATAGCACAGCGGGTAGGGCGTTTGCCTCACACACAATCGACCAGGTTCGAGTCCCAGCAGCCCATGTGGTTTCCAGAGTCATCCCTGAACGTCGAGCCAGAAGTAGTAACCCCCTGAACACAAGCAGGTTTAGCTCAAACAAACAAAAACAAAAACAAAAAAATTGAGGGGACCGGAGAGAAAGGCCTCCTACACAGCTGACTTGGTTTGATTCCTGCCATCACATAAGATTCCTCCGAGTCCCACCAGGTGCGACCCCTGAGCAGAGAGCCAGGAGGAAGAAGCCCTGAGCACGGGCGGGTGTGGCCCGAGAAACCAAAAAGAAAAAATAACTTGATTTGTCTAGTTAATGAGTGGCGAAGCATACTTCAGCGTACTACCCCTCCCCTACACCGGCGGGCTATTCTGCCAGGAGGCTTATCAAGCTTCCATCTTTTGGCACGGACATCCTCCACACTCACTGCACAGGTGGCGTTCCTGTCCCGGCATGCGCTTTTTCCTGTCAGGTGGCACTCAGGCTCCCGAACGGTTCCCGAACTATCCAGAGAGGGAAAGAGTGGAGAGGTCAGTTAAGAAAGGATGGTTCGATCCCAGGCTCGGCCCGAGAGAGAGAGAGATGGAGGATGGCGGCAAACTGCGGCAAGAGCCGGGTCTTCAGCTGGAAGGAGAGTCCCCTGCATGCCCCCGTCTCCCCCTCCGCCCCACCCACCCCCACCTCGCCTGGGTCAAAGCCCCCCACCCCCACCCTGAAGCCGGGCCCGACCCGAAGCAGCTCTGCAGGAGAAACTGCTGCTGCCGTCGCCCCCTCTTAATGCTCGGGGGTCCTGTGTCTGCTCCCGCCTGCCTCAGACCGTCCAGCCTCGCGCCGGGGGGGTGGGGGGGGGCTGAGGGAGCAAAGCAGCCCGGGTGGGTCAAGGGTCTTCCCGTTCGGGTCCAGAATCCAGGGAGGGGGCGCGGCGGTGGTGGTGGTGGTGGTGGTGGTGGTGGGGCGCGGTGGGTGTGGAAATCGGGGCTTCCGAGAAGGCCCTGCAAAGCTGAGCGCCCCCCCCTCTCCCCCCGACCCCCAGTCGCACGCTCCCGGCGTCCCGGCCCAACTCGTTTGTGAAGAAGCTTCTCTCGGCGCGAAGGTTTCTGGGAATGGAGTGTGGGGGGGAGGAAACCCGTCCGAACTCACCCTCACGGCTGGCTCCGGCCCGCTTTGCAGTTCCCCGCCGCCTCTCCACCCCTCGCCTCGGTGTTCTTAGGCAGGCCGCGGGTCGCCGGCTGTCGCATGCACCCGGGACGGGAGCCCCGTGGGGAGAGAGAGCGAGGACCCGAGGCGAGGCGGCCCGCGCGCGCACCGCGCGTCCTCGCGCACCACTCGGGCGTCGTCGTCGCGGGCCCGACGTCCTCCTTCCGCCCCGCCCCTCCCTCTGAGGACGTCATCCCCATTGGCCGACAGCTCCGCCGACAGCCAATCAGAGGCCGCGGAGCATTTGAGCGGGAGACTAAGTCTCGAGCGACTTGGCCAGCCCGAAGATCCCGGATCTCAGGGGCTGAGGGGAAGGCGCCCCTGAGATGAACTTTGAGGGAAGCTGCTCCTCCCCCACCCCCCACCCCGCGCCCGCTCATTGCAAACACACAGAACAGGCCCGGGGAGCCGGGGAGACGGTCGAGGCCTCCTCAGGGCCATCTCCATCTTGGGTTCAAAGGGGTTTTGCCGATGGCTCTGGCCCGGCCCGCTTCAGGCATCATGGAGGCGAAGGCCCCTGGTGGGGGAGGGGGCGCTGCTGTGGGTCAGCGCCAGGGCTCGTCATGTAGGGGCCACCGAAGGCCCCTCAAAACCCCACAACACCATCTTGGGGGTTGGGGGCTGGGGGTTGGTGGTGTTGGCGGGGGAGGGTCATTATGGGGAATTGTGGTTTTTTTTTTTTTTTCCATGGTTTTGATTCTGTGTCTCGGCTGTCCCGGGACTTGGAATATTTTCCAGCTCCCGGTGACCCCCCCGGGTGTCCTTCCAGAACTGAGCCACTCAGTCCCCTGAGGGGTTCTCAAGGGTGGCCCGGAAACAGCAGCCCCCCCCCCCCCCCACACACACACCCCGGGTGGAGGGTGTGACGGCCTGCGGCACCTGCCGTGCCCGGGCGGCCGGGCCGCTCCTGACTTCCGGCTCGGGACGAAAGTGAAGGTCCCCCAGGCCTCGGGGACACGTGGCAGGGTGACTGCGCCGCGGGAACGGCCGCGGCTGAGAGCCATTGGCGTTGGGAGAGGAAGGAGACGCGGCGGGGCGTGTGAGTAGTTTGGTGCCTCCCCCTTCCCCCCCCCCCCCCAGGAAATCTCGTGCAATCTGAAGGTCCTGCTCGGGCGCCGGGATGTCGGGCTGCAGCACCCCGAGGTGCGGGAGCGGGCGGGAGAGCGAATCTGCGCGCTGTGTGCTCGAGAGTGACCCCTGGCGGTGCTGGGGGGGACCCGCGCTTGCAAGCCTCCGAGTCCCTGGATCTCTTTTCCCCAGGCCGAGTGGCCTTTTCACAACATCCTTGGGGATGGCTCAAGGAAGGAGGCTGGGGGTGGGATGTGGGGGGGGAGGGAGGGTAGAGCCTCTTTCTCCCGTTGGGTCATCATCCCCTGACCCCTTGGGCGCCTCTGGTGTCAAAACGGAAAAAGAAACAAGGAACAGAAGACATTTTCACTTGCAGCTGTCAGCTTTGAAAGAGGAAGCAATTCGTGGAAGGACAGGAAACTTCAGTGGGAGCACAGATTTTTTTTGGGGGGGGTTTTGGGTCACACCCGGCGATGCTCAGGGGTTACTCCTGGCTCATAAGCTCAGAAATTACTTCTAGTGGTGCTAGGGGGACCATATAGGATGCTGGGGATTGAACCCTGATTGAGCCGCATGCAAGACAAACACCCTACCTGCTGTACTATCGCTCCAGGCCCCAGGAATCCAGATTTTATTTATTTATTTATTTTATTATTTTTTTTTTTTTGCTTTTTTGGGTCACACCTAGCGATGCAACCACAGGAGTTACTCCTGGTTCATGCACTCAGGAATCTCTCCTGGCGGTGCTCGGGGGACCATATGGGATGCTGGGAATTGAACCTGGGTCTGCC